TATTATTATTATTATTATTATTATTATTATTATTATTATTATTATTACATTTCTATACATAAATACACCCTGAGTTTGTGGCTTTTAAGTTAGCAGAAAATTATGATAATTTCTGTAATTTTAAGCCAAATGTTGCTCTCCCTTATCTGCTGTTAGAATCTTGCACAAATGGATAAGCCAAGACATCAAATTATTGTGTTGATTTATTTTAACTATTTCACTTCTTCCTCAATACTTTGGCTTGGGAATAAGATCAGGTGTTTTTCAGTTATATATATAGATATATTTTAAGAATATGCTTGTTAAAAGGCTGCATAGTACAAAAATGAAAGGTAATAGCATGCTATGGAAAAATAATGGACTTTTCTATGATACTTTCTGCTCTCAATGCTGCAGCAAGAATTATTTGTTCAACTTGATGTGCTATCCAAATTGGGTGCTTAATGAATTGACAAAATTTGATTCTTCTGCATGTCTAAATGATGGCTGACACAATCCATGTGTCAGTCTGCCTACTCTTTGCTTTTCCTATATTTCAAAGGAATTAGCAAAAATCAAATGGATGTTTCTTCAGCATATACACTCTCAAGCACCTATACTCTTCACCAATTATTTTACGCTCTTTTGTCACATTTTTTTTTCCTTCCGTAGGTTTTGCAACTGAGGTAGTCAATTATCCAATTTACTTTTCTTTCTTGATTTTTGTCATCTGCTTTAAAAATGTATATTTCTGACACAGGAAGAATAACTAAATTAAATTGCTAGCATATTTTTGGTTGCACTAATGTGTCTTTTCCATGGGAAAAAAGTTTGGCTGAGTTGTATTGTTGACTTGTCTGTTTTATTTTGTACAGAATCTGCTGTATATTTTTAGCTGTATGTTTTTTGTGAGGATCAGACCTGTGGATGTTTATCTATTTATTTTGTGGAACAAAGTGGCACTTTCAATAAAGTCTGGTGCAGCAAAGAAAACTGAAGCCTGACTAGGCTTTTGTACCTTAGTCCTGTTCCCCCTTTTTTCAGTGAGATCATTTGATTATTGCTAAGAAGAGGAAGGAGGACTATGTATTGAAATGAATATACTGCTGGCTTTCCTGAAATTATCTGTTTAAAGACCCATCTTTGACTTCCTAAGCAAAGAAGAAAAGCTTTTTTAAAAGTTTATTCATGAGATTCTCATAAGGTTGCTCAAACTTTATTGTTGAAAACTCTGGCATATTTTTCATCGTGCTTTCCATGTACATAAATCTTTATAAATCCATGTACATGTGCTAGAAATCTTCATGGGGTTATATTTGCTAAGAAAGTTTGCAACGAAAGTTTTAAATTGCCATAAAATAAATTTGAGCCTAGCTGTTTTTCACATATCAATGTACATACTGCAATTGATGTACATTTAGATCAATTGTTTCATATTAAATTAATAGAAACAGTCTAATTCACAAGGTTGTTGTTCTGGGGAAAATAGGAGAAGGAAGGAATATTAGGTATGTTTGCCCCCTTGAATTATTCATAAAATGGGATAATAAATAAATCAAATTGCCATTAAAGAGCCCAGCTGGAATGCTATTGTCTAGAATAGAAATGTTCTGGGCAATTTTTCTTAGTGCAGATTTCTGTTTCATTGGCAGTATTTCATTTTTTTAATGAAACTTTTAAAAACTTTGTTAATAGAAATGAAAATTGCTGTGCTCTCTCTAATAGGAGATATGTGTGTCTTTAATGGGGTTATATCCTGAGGTTCCTCTCTGAGCAGAAAAAGTCAAAACAGGCTGACCAAACATATTAGTTAGCCTTCCGTGCTTAGCTGAGGGCCTATATTCAAGCAAAATTCCTCTCATGCAACTTTGGATTGGGATTAATTTGCTGCACTGGAACTTTAAAACATGGCTGTTGTTTAAAAGACATCCAATGTATGCACTTCCTGGTAGTTAAATCATAAGATGGGAAGGGTTCATGAACTTGCCATTAGGAACTCATTAATTACCATCCTTCAGTCTTCTGTTTTCATAAAGGCTTGAAGCTAAACTAATCGTGGGGAAGGGTTTTCCTGTTTGGAAGGCATCGTCTTAAAATTACAATTGTCTATGATTTTTTTTAATGTTCCTTCTAGAAATAAGGTTTTTTTTTTGTTTTATTTCTGTGACAATCTTTGTAACTTTGAGTGTTGTGTATAGTAATGAGATTTTCTGAGGTTTTTGTTTGTTTGTTAGTTGGTTTTTGGCTGTAAGGTTAGTGTAATGAAGGAAGGACCAAATGCTCCAAGTTACACATACAAGACATGAAAAGAAGAATCAGAGTCTCATGGTTTCCATACGTACATAATTGTTGCTTTTTCAGTTATTTATTATTGTTTGTAAAACTGCCTTTTCTTACATTCTGTTGTAAATAAACTACAAGCAATCTTCTTTCCAAGACTGCCTTGCTTCATTTCTGAATTCATGCAATGACCAAATGCTCACCTTGCTATATTAAAGGTTTACCTCTTCAGCTCTAATCCATGGCGTCAAAATATCTAGGATAGAACCAAATGAACCAACATTAGAATATTCTCTGGTGGGAAAAGGGTGAATATTTGGATGATGGATAAGAAGATAGTAGAGTTTCCAGTAGAAGGCATGGTGGACATTTGATGCCAAACCAATGAATTGTTTTTGAATACCTCAAAAGACCAACACACAAACTTTCGTCAAGTGTTTACTGGAATGAGTGCCATATCAATTATAAATAAATAGCTTCATCAGATGTATGACAAAATGAATTTGTATTAGTTCAGATCAGTTTTTAAGGTACAATAAGATGCTTTGCTTGTGTAAATAAAAGATTCACATAATGAAAGAGTTGGAGTAGGCCTAGAGCGAGCCAGGCTGAAGTTCATTCTCAACCATGGAAGCTTCTTGAGAGAATTTGGTCAGTCACTCTTAACCCAATCTATTCATAGCATTGTTGGTTGTGGAGAAAATATGGGGAGGGAAATGCCATGTATGACTGACTGACTTTCTTTCTTTCTCTTTCTTTCTTATAAATTATTTTTGAAAAATATAACGTTTGTACATTTGAAAAATAAAATAAAGTAATTCCCATGTCATTATGATTATATAATAGATAGCAGGTGCCAAAAAGTTACCACATTCTGAATTGAGATCTAGGCAATTGGGAGGCTTCCTATAAAGCTTTGTATGTATAATTAATGGGATTCAGAGAGGAAGGCGTGGGGTTAATTCTACAGTCAGTTAAGGCTAAAGTCATAAAGGATGACTTTGTAGGATGACTTGATTCAGTGTCATTGGTAATGTAAATCAAATGACTGAGAATGATAATTTTAGATATGTTGAGTGTCCTGTATAAGCAATGGTTTTATGCTAAGTAAGACCTTTGATCTCTCTGTTATTGAGTAGTCCAGAAATAAGGACCTTTTCACTGCAAGCTTTTTAGTGTATTTTTAATTTAAAATGAAAAGGCCTGAACTTGGAATTTTCTGCATAGAAGGAATGTGCTGGGTCACTACACCTGCTGTTTATGTCAGAAAATTCTTTTTTGTGGTTTATAATTTACAGCTTCTTCCTTCCAGTTTCTTTTTTCTTTTTGCAAAAAAGAATACACTGTTTACATAAAGGTTTGTGCTACCCTGTTCAAGCTGACTGAAGTAGATGATATGAAGGCCATTTATTATTATCATCAATGTCTATGTAGTTTTGCTACTGCAGCAATGTTCATATATTACGTTGGGACCATCGTTTATAGTAATTAAAACTACAGTTGATTAAAAAACAAAACAGTTTTAAAAAATAGCTAGTCAATTTAAAATAGCAGTAACAGGCAGCAACAATATGGAAGAGGTCCAGAGGAAACCACTCATCAAAATCTAGCAAGATTGTCATTTAAAAAAAACACTTTTTACAGTTAAAAAAATAAAGGAGCCATCCAGACTTCTGCATGTCAAAAGCAAGGAGGTCCTGTTCCAAGTCCTACAACTTTATATCTAGAACCTTCAGAAATAATGGAGCTTCATCCAAAACAGCCTGGATCTATTTCTACATCATTGTTTCTGTTGTTGAAATACACTTCTGTTTAAACGCAAATCTAGTATGATAAAACTAGACATTTACTTCCCCGTTTCAAATAAAGAAGACTGTAACTTTTACATTAAAAGTTGATTCTATAAGACAGGGACTGCATTCTCTCCTCTGTCCTCATTTCCTTTGTGTCATCTGTTCAGACTTTTTTGATCCATCTAAG